CCCAGATCGAAAGGATCATCATTATGAGGCGGGCTGGACGAGGCCGATGCCATCGCCGCCGCCGCCGCCGGCTGCGCAGGGCGCAGGATGGGCGGATTACGGTGTACTTGTTAAGGGATAAGGTGTGTATTGGGCTACTTTCTTAACAGTTGCATGCCAAGAAAGTAAAAATGCAGGGAAGGGGTGCAAGCGTCAACGTGAATGACAGGGGACACGGATCCTTGTCTGCACCCATGTGCCCACCCTGGATTTACCCCTGGTCCTGGGCAATGTGCAACAAGTCGGCGTTCACAGCCAGAAGCGGCTGCAATCCTTCTCTGCCTCCTCCGCATTCCTCTGCCCCCATTCGCATCCCGTGCTTCACACCACACGTCCTGGAAGCCAACATGCTTCACACCAATCGTCCTGCAAGCCTGCAGGCTTCACACCATTCATCCTGCAAGCATATACATGCTTCACACCCCTCGTCCTGCGAGATTCACACCACACATCCTGCAAGCCTGCAGGCTTCAGAAACACCTCCTGCGAGCTTCACACCACACGTCCTGCAAGCCTACATGCTTCACACCACTCGTCCTGCGAGCTTCACACCACTTGTTCTGCAAGCTTCACACCACACGTCCTGCAAGCCTGCAGGCTTCACACCACACGTCCTGGAAGCCGCTTTGGCTTCACACCACTCGTCCTGAAAGCCTTCATGCTTCACACCATTCGTCCTGCGAGCTTCACACCACACATCCCGCAAGCCTACATGCTTCACACCACTCGTCCTGCGGGCTTCACACCACACGTCCTGCAAGCCTGCATGTTTTACACCACTCGTCCTGCAAGCCAACTTTGCTTCATATCGCACGTCCTGCGAGCTTCACACCATACGTCCTGCGAGCTTCACACCACATATCTGCGAGCTTCACACCACACATCCCGCAAGCCTGCATGTTTCACACCACTCGTCCTGCAAGCCAACTTTGCTTCATATCGCACGTCCTGGAAGCCGATTTTGTTCCACACCATTCGTCCTGCAAGCCTTCTTTCAAGTGTGTCACCAGGGGACGAGGACAGGCTTTGATGTTGCCAGGGGCTGAGAAGAGGGTGTCGCCCTGGATGAGACCCGATCCGCGACAGGGTGATCCAGAAATTGCTCCTGTTCTTCCTGTTCACTACCCAGTTCCCCCAAAGCCCTCTGCAAGTTTCATTGCATTTGGTTCGGATCACAGGAAGACGAGTAAGTCGCACTGGGTTTCAATACGTACAGGCGTTTCTGTTCGTGCAACACGCCACTGAACGTCGCACACATTTCGTTGTCCTCCCGTATCGTGACATGCGCCTAGTTGCTTCCATCAGCTACATAGCTGCAGCCAGTGCATGCACTTCTGGGCAAAATGGTCACTGGGTCGTCCGCGAGCGCGAGCATGCAGCCGAAGCAGCTGGAGCCTTGGGTATCCGCGTCGAAGACTTGGCAAAGATAAATCGAGTTGATACGACAAGATTGAACAAGATCCACCCGGGCGAAACGTATACGGTCCCCTACGTGGCTTCGCTCGCACCGCCGGCCGTATGGCACATCGAGCCGATACAGACCGGTATTTCCGGCTGTCTGGCACACCTCGAGTTGAGTCCAACCACAACCTTCACAGCCGAAGTGAAAGCAGCGGCAGGCACTCAGTTTTCATCATTGCCACCACAAGACCATACTTGTCGTTCTTCTGGCTCGAAGACTACTACAAATGATGACCCTACGGGCTCATTTCGTGAGTCATGCGGGCTTCTTACATGCGGCTCAGCGGATCTCCTTGGGACATCAACACCGTCCCTTGTAGCCGGCACCTTGAGAACATCAGCAGCAACAGGCTGCGCGAGCAAGGACTCTTCGACGCCTCTGGGTGCCGCCCAATCTTCAGCAACTACCTCCGGCGTTCTGACTCCGTACTCAAATCCGAACCCTGTAACTTTCTGCATCGACGAGCAGCTTGAGCGCTGGCGCCCCGGATTCAATTCAGACAGACAGGCTGAACTAGCTGGTCTTTTCTGCAGCGAGAAACGGGCCCCTTTGAACGCTACAAGCCCAGGCTATGCTCGGGAAATGGTGCCACTACCGGCGAAAGCGTACGCTGAAGGCTATTACTTCTATTCTCTGCTTTGGACTGGCTGGGACCAGAATTGCACCGCGGAGCAGACCATCGACACAGATACTTGTATCGACATGATGAAGCAAAGCTTCCGGAAATGTTAGTCCGCACTTATCCGTTTGAGGTACGAGCTGACCAGTGACAGGCAATAACGGCGGCAAGGGAGGGATCACCAAGCTTGGCTGCGTCCTGTACGAGTTTCGAGGCTTCTTCGATTGGGAGTATCCACCTAATCCCACGCCGACCAGGACCGCCGACACCGATGCGTCCAATTCTTCGACTACCCGTTCAAGACCAGCAGACGTGCCAGAGAGAATGCCAGTTTCAAGTGGCTTGGTGAGTCCCGTAAACCGACTCTATCACATAAGGAGGCTGCTTCCAAGGGTCCATCAGTGACAGACCACGGTAGTCGACTCTCTACGGCGTATGCTGACGCGGCGCAGTCCTCAGGAACTACATGGAACGCATCGGCTCCACGTTCAAGGGCGGAAACGTTCTGCGCTGTGGAGAAAAACGCGGATCGCCGCGGCAAAGTAGATCCAGGCAAACAGGCCCATCTCCTCAACGATTTCTGCAGGCAAACGCGGAGACAATTAAGCTCAGAAAACCCAGGTTATCTTACACAATACTTTTATCAAAGTTTCAGGATGCGTGATGACGGCAGGTACCTCTTCTCTCTACGCTGGACTGGCTGGGACGAGAGATGCCCTGCAGAAGAAACGATTGAGCCGGAGACATGTATAGACGCTATGGAGCAGAATTTCAAGAAATGTAAGTTTACCATCGTGAAACCAACGTACCAAGTTAGCTGACAGGGTTTGAGGCAATAACGGTGGCATAGGAGGAACCACAAAAGTTGGGTGCGTAGTATATGAGTTCCGAGGCCTTAAACCCGAAGGGTTCATGATGCCCGCGGCCGCCTAGATCATCTCCGTAGCCGAGAAACGCAGTGGTCACACCTGTAAATTCACACTGTACAGTAGCACGAGTCTCAGGGCGGACAAAACAGATGCTTATAGCCACTGGGATGACCAAGGATCAAGATGACGCAGTCACCAGGGAACAGGCTGTTGGCGCAACTGTAGCAACGACCCGGTAAGGCCTCGGAGTTCATCAAAGTGGTGCGGAATCTTTGGTTGGATCGGTATCGCAGTGTCTTCGTCACGTCGACGGGCATTTTCGGCCACCCGGCACTCTCCATCTGACTCCTTGTCTCTCACTGTTGAGACTGTCGAGGTGTCGCATTGAAGTTATGGACCAAATTACTCAAGCTCATCACAGCCAACGTGCGTCCGGCAGTCCCCGAGGCTGAGTCGGTGGAGTGCCTCATTCCCCCCTCCCCAAATCTGCAATCTATACAACCGGGGCTGCCGGCCCACATATTTGATGTATCCGTTGCGAGTTCGTCAGCATAGGTCTCAGCGTGGTGTATGTCAAACACGCCCAGGGTCGCTTGTCGGTCTGGTCGTCGGGCGCTTTGCATGTCTACCATCGTATAGACGGTCCAACATTTTTCTTGAAACGTGGCTGGGTGATATAGGTTAATTTGCGGGTGGAGTGATCGTGGTTCCAATTCAAAGGTGCCTCTGCCCGTATTTACTACTGGTGCTGGACCAGCCAGCCAGCGATCCGGGCTACCATGCGTATAGCTCTCGGCGACGGCCCGCAGAAGGGCTCCGGCGCTGTCATCTGAGATTGGCTGAAAAGTGCATTCCTGCCCTTGCCAATAGCATCTGTGACACTTTCCTTGCGCCGTATTTTGGAAACCGCTGCATCGAACCTGCAGTGGCATTAGCATTCTAGCTCGAAGCCCAATACACGAGACCCACCTTCCGCTGCCTGCACGATATGCATGCCATGATCGTTCGTGAATACGTCGATTCGCCGGCCGGAGACGCATATGCTGCACCAGACGAGCTATCTCCACGTCTTGTCATGGTTCTTGTCGTTGCAGGCGCTTTCCAGGTATCCGGCTTCTGCAGAAGCTGGAACGTGAGCTGATATTGAGACTCGGGACGTGCTTTCTTTGTTCTAGGCTGACAGGACGACCTGATGACTTGCTCCATTATGAGGGTAGTAGACCGGTGTCCTCCGTGCCCAGCAAGCTGCCGAGACGGTCGCCGTGAAGAGTGCGTTAGATTTCGATGGCAAAGTGTCAGCACTCGCCGTGGCTCACGTAGCCCCTTCAACAGGGGCATTCTCTTCGTGCGGTTGAGGCCTCGTCAGCGCCACGGTGTTGGTCGCGTCGCTGCGCATTTGCTTGCCGTTGCCTGGTAGCCAGAATAGGCGCCTAGCTGACCCTCACACCATCTCGCTTGCTTCACACCATCTTGCTGCCCACCATCACATCCCGCCCCTTCCGCTGCGCACCACCTTACTTGGCTTCACACCCCTCACTTCGCTTCACACCCGTTTGGCCTTGCCACGCAGGAATGGGCTGAGCGCTAATTTTTACCCCTGGCACCCTAGAGCAGAACGCTTCTTGTCTCCAGGAGCCAGAACCTACCCCTGGTAAGTTGTGAAGACGTACAGTCGCGGAAGGGTCTATGGGCGACACCCCGCGTTGTTGCCAGCATTGTCCGCTATCCTGCTTTTGACGCTGCGCCATTACAGTACTGTATCACCAAGACAGCAATCCGTCTAGAAACGAAACAACGATACATAACGCCACGCGGAGTGCTGCTATGGAAGTCTCCGCTTACATCTCTCCAGGTGGGTCATCTGAGCGTTATTACAAGCCGCTGTTCACCTCGCCTCCCAAACTCATCAAGTCCAGCGCACGACACTGATTCGGTCGCTAGCCGACCTGCCGGGTCGAGCTCTGACCAGCTACCCTTGGCAGCCTATCTCAGGTGAGCCGTCTCGCCGCCACGCTTGGTCCTGGGCTGCGCACGGCGCGACACAGTCTAACAGTACATCCAGGTACGTAGCGCTGCTGCCATCCTCGCTTTGTCCGCTGATAGCCACAGCTCCCGACCTCGATTGCGCGTACCGCCGCGTGACTGACTCCCCGATCGCTACACAGAAAGACGGCACGAGCACAAACAATGGAACGGAAACGCTCTCACGAAACGGAGGCGTCCAAGACGATGGGAAACTCGCCCGTTTCGTCCCATGGCACGCCGCCAAGTGACCACCGCGACCAGCCGCCGCAAACCTCTCCGTCGCAAAGGACCAGTACGCCTGATCATGCGACTGCCGAGCGCTCAGCACCGCTGGCCGAGGGCCCCTAAGACGCCGACGACTTGGCCGCCGCCCAAGGCCCTTTCGAATCCTAGACACCACACGACAGACCAGTTGAATCACTTTGAATCAGACCCCAAGGGGCTACGCACCGCACACAGGGCCAGGTTAAGGGTCGCAGACTCCATCGGCTCGGCGAATGTATGAGAATTGTTATGGGCGGACGGCGCTCAGTACCAGGCAACTCTACGGAAGATGAGCCTTGACGCCCGTGCTTGAACTGGGCGGACACGCCAGCGCCCTCCTTACCTCTTGGCGAGCTTGCATGATCCGACAAATCATGGTGCTGAGCGGCTTTGAGTTGTCTCTGTCATGTCAGAGTGTATGGGCACTGCCTTTCCAAATGATTCGACGTCTTACCGCCGTGTCTCTCTGCCGTTGCCCGCTCACACTGACTACCCCGCTGGACTTCACAGTGAGTGGCCGGTGCTGACAGAGAGAGTCACTATACCCCGGCTGGCCCGTATAACGCTGAACGATTCCCCCCCGCCGGCACATACCTGGACAGTCTGGCAAATCGACGCCCTCGTACGAAACAGAATCTCTGCGGATCTCGAGGCATTGGACGGCCAGCCAGTGACAGGTAGTTTGAAGCCATGTTCGTCGACAACGTTCTTGGTGCAATTTCTGCGTAACCCACATACATCACCTTCTATACAAGGAGGTGTCTGGCATGCAAGATTGTTATCCGATAGTATGACCTGGGGAAATCTTGTCATAGTTCACGCTGGCCAAGAAGCGGCCGTAGCGCTCCAACAGACGCTCTAACCTCCCGGACGTCTTTCGGTTTGCGACAAACGCCGGATGGCGGACGACTGGGCGGTAATATACATGGTCATGGACGATATGAACAATGGCGGTCGCAGCCATGGCCGGGGCCTTCCACGTCCCATCTGTGGACGGAAATGCCACCCCTCCATCTACCCAAGTGTCTTGGGACGGATCCCTTGCTTATTACGTCGCTACGAAGCCCGACAAAACATGTATCTAATCTCGTAGACTATCAATTGACTTCACTTCATGCTCGGTCTTCGTCGCGTCGGGGTTTTTTGTTCGACGTACATGGCTCGCCTACTTGGCGCTGACAATTGAGCTTTGCGTGGGACCTGGGGTCATTCGTTATTCGAAGTGCCCGAGCGGTTCGCAGGCTGCGATGCACTCCGACGTCGTCTTCCCGCCATAGAAGGCGCTGGAACTGCGTACATGCCATCGTGCTTTGACGTTGCGGGCGGTGGCCGCAGACGTAGTGAAGCCGAAGTCTGGCCTATGCCGACCACCAGTTAGTTGCTCATCGACACGGATGTAAAGCGTCTGTGCAGGGTAGGGGAGTTCCCACTCAGGCCTCATGCACGCCATCAGTACAGTAGTAACTCTGTGATTCGAACTGAGTGGGATGAAGCTTGCAGAGAGTTTCGGGAACTGGGCAGCGAACACGAGAACCGGAGCGATTTCTGGATCCCTCTGTCTGTCACACAGCCTTGTATCCTGAGTGGTGTGAAGCATGCAGGACAAGTGATGTGAAGTAAAGTGGCTTGCAAGACGTGTGGTGTGAAGCCAAATAGGCTCCCAGGACGTGTGGTGTGAAGCTCGCAGGATGAGCGGTGTGAAGGTGCAGGCTTGCAGGCCGCGTGGTGTGAAGCAAAGTCGGCTTGCAGGAAGCGTGGTGTGAAGCTCGCAGGACAAGTGGTGTGAAGCATGCAGGCTTGCAGGCCGCGTGGTGTGAAACAAAATCGGCTTCCACGTCGAGTGGTGTGAGGCTTGCAGGATGAGTGGTGTGAAGCATGTAGGCTTGCAGGACATGTGGTGTGAAGCTCGCAGGACATGTGGTGTGAAGCTTGTGGGCTTGCAGGACATGTGGTGTGAAGCCTGCAGGCTTGCAGGACGAGTGGTGTGAAACAAAATCGGCTTCCAGGTCGAGTGGTGTGAAGCTCACAGGACGTGTGGTGTGAAGCATGTAGGCTTGCAGGACGTGTGGTGTGAAGCTCGCAGGACATGTGGTGTGAAGCTCGCGGGATGTGTGGTGTGAAGCGTGCAGGCTCGCAGGATGTGTGGTGTGAAGCATGTAAACGTGCGGGACGAGTGGTGTGCAGCCAAATCGGCTTCCAGAATGTGTGGTGTGAATCTCGCAGGATGCGTGGTGTGAAGCATGCAGGCTTGCAGGATGTGTGGTGTGAAGCTCGCAGGAATCGTGGTGTGAATCATGAAGGCTTGCAGGAATCGTGGTGTGAAGCAAAATCGGCTTGCAGGATGTGTGGTGTGAGGCTTGCTGGACGAGTGGTGTGAAGGATGCAGGCTTGTAGGACGTGTGGTGTGAAGCAAAATAGGCTCCCAGGACGAGTGGTATGAAGCATGCAGGCTTGCAGAACAAGTGGTGTGAAACTCGCAGGACAAGTGGTGTGAAGCAAAAATGGCTTCCAGGACAGGTGGTGTGAAACATGCAGGACGAATGGTGTGAAGCATGAAGGCTTGCAGGACATGTGGTGTGAAGCCAAAGCGGCTTCCAGGATTTGTGGTGTGAGTCTCGCAGACCGTGTGGTGTGAAGAATGCAGGCTTGCAGAATGTGTGGTGTGAAGCAAGTCGGTTTGAAGGAACTGTGGTGTGAAGTTCGCAGGACGTGTGGTGTGAAGCATGCTGGCTTGTAGTACGAGTGGTGTGAAGCAAAATCGGCTTACAGGACATGTGGTGTGAAGCCTGCAGGCTTGCAGGATGTGTGGTGTGAAGCTCGCAGGACGAGTGGTGTGAAGAATGCAGGCTTGCAGGACGTGTGGTGTGAAGCTCGCAGGATGCGTGGTGTGAAGCTTGTGGGCTTGCAGGACGAGTGGTGTGAAACAAAATCGGCTTCCAGGTCGAGTGGTGTGAAGCTCACAGGACGTGTGGTGTGAAGCACGGGATGCGAATGGGGGCAGAGGAATGCGAAGGAGGCAAAGAAGGATTGCAGCCGCTTCTTGATCGCCGTGAACGCCGACTTGTTGCACATTACCCAGGACCAGGGGTAAGGCCAGGGTGAGGACAGGGGTGCAGACGAGGATCCGTGTCCCCTGCCCCTCAGCCCACCACCCGCTTCTTCGCTTCACACCATCAACTTTCACCCCGCGACTCTCCACACCATCGCACCGGACATCCATGTTGACGCTTGCCTGCAACGCTGACAGCCTCGTCTGAGCGCCGACAATGGCTCTTCTGAGTCGGCGGGAGTCAATCCGCAACTTGGCCGTGCACTCTTCCATCGTAGAAGCCCGCAGCAGTGTGTCGAGGAGCCGAAACTTGCGTCACATGAGAATTGGGTAGAAACGGCCGCGGAAGGGTCTAGGAACGACGCCCCAGACCCTCTATGTCCAGTCTGTTCTCATCTTCTCCCGTCGCGCGCCTCCACTGTACTTCGCTCTCAGTCTGCGAAGAAGCAACGTTGAACAGTAAGTAATTGGCCAGTCACGAGAGCATCCACGACTAACACTCGTTGTTCGTATCCTCCTGCATCAAGACATTGCGATCTGTCCGATACCGTCACCATCTGAACCAGGCTTTCTATCCATAAGCGTATGGATTAAGTTAATCCATATGGAACGTTCCATATGGATTAACCGTATTCCATACAAGATGACTGTATTCCATACGTATGGAAATACACCGGAAAAATGTTTCTCCTTCGTGTACCGTGACCAGCCCAGCGTGACGGGTCCCAGCGCGACGCGCCGTCTGCCTTGATTTACGCCCGGAGTCGCGTCTCCACTCATTTGGCCAGCGTAAGTGCAAATGTCCTCCCTCGCTTCGATTGCTTCCAGCGACCGCACCCGCTCTGTTGAGTCTGTTTCGTCAGCCTCTCGGCTACCGTCATCGGCGAGCTCTGCTCCGCAAAATGCGACAAGCTCCAATGGCCGGACTGCGCGAAAACGCAAGCCAACCGCGAACACTTGGGCTCATGCACGCGAACCCCAAGAGTCAGAGCCAGCCCGCTGCCCACGCAAAAATGAGAAGATCTACTATTGTATGTACTGCATAGATCCGACCTATTCGACGACTGTCTCAACTACTTTCCGCCATCACTTGTTCAAAGTCCACGGGATTGAGTTGGACGCCCACGACCACCCCGTCAAGAAGCAGCGCGACAACCTCATTCAGGATGCTTTCGCAAAGGCTGGCGAGGTGAGCGCTGCAAGGCAGCTGATGAGGCAGGAAGACACTCTTAGGGCTGCGGTCAATCGGAAGGCCGCTCTCGAAGCTCTGGTCCAGCTCGTCACCGTCCGCAACCTCTCCTACAATTGCAGTTCTTGGCCAGAGCTGCACGCGCTGATCGGCGCTGTCAACTATACCGCAGAAGGCATCATTAGCCTCTCTCATGGTTCCATCCAGAAGCTTGTCTCCAATTCCTATTGTGTGCACAAGGATATCCTGCGGAGAAGGCTACAGTCCTCGCCATCAAAGCTCCACCTCTCTGCCGACGTCTGGACAGCCCCGAATCACAAAGCCTTCCTTGGAACTTGCGTTAAATTTGTTGATCCAGAGTCGAAGGAGACATTACAGGCCTTGTTGGCCCTGTCGGAGCTGCCAGGCCTTGATGGGCCTGGTAGTCACGGCGGAGCTGAGTAATGGAAGCTTCTACGGCACGTTCTCGAGGACTACAACATCTGGAACAAGATCGGCTTCTACACCGGCGACAACCACGGCTCCAACGACAAGCTCTGTCGTTTGCTTGGCGAGCATCTACATGCGAGGGGCATGAGTTGGGAGCCAAGGAAGCAGAGGATTCGATGCCATGGTCATGTCATTAACCTCGCTGTTCAAGCCTTCCTTTTCATGGACTCCAAGGAAGCTGCACGAGCCGCTCTAGAGCAGATCGAGGGCGATGACGAAATTGCATTCGGTGCCGACTTTGCACAGCGGGTCAAGACTCAAAGAGCGCTAGGTTGGCGTCGATTAGGGCCTCTTGGTAAAATCCACAACATCTCAGTCCACATGCGCGAGAACGATTACCGGTGGAATCTCTTCAAGAAACGCGCTGGCCGGTCGCTGGGGATGGACAACGATACGCGCTGGAACTCATGGTTTCTACTTCTGGACGTTACCCTCAATCTCCAGGAGCATGTGGAGTGGTACCAGAGAAGATATTATGAGAACCTACAGGACGCCTATCTCGCCCCTAATGAGTGGAGCATCCTGAGGGAAACGCGCACTTTCCTTCAACCATTCTGGAAGATCACTCAGCTTACAGAGGGTCGCTACGCCACCCTCGACCGCACGCTCTTCACTATGGACGTCCTTCACAGGCATTACACGCAGGCTTTCCAAAAGCACCACGAGAACCATGCACTCCGTAGCTGCATCGCTGCCTCTTGGGCTGTATTTGACAAGTACTACCAGCGGATGAGAGCCCTGCCTATGGTGCGGCAATGATGCTTCATCCGTCACGCCGTATGGCCCACGTCAAAAAGAATTGGCCCAAGTCGTGGCACAAACCAGTACTTGATGGCGTGACGAAATACTGGGAGGACTACTACCAGACGCTGCCGATTACCACCACAACGCCCGAACTACGAGACAAACTGCAACCACCCGATGAGTATGAATTGCTCGCTCGAGAGCTCGATGTCGTTCGCCCGGCAATGAACGAGCTCGATGAGTACAAATCCTTTATCACACAAACACCAGTCGCTACTGACTGCTCGCCACTTACTTGGTGGCTCCGAGAAGAACAGCAACAGCGGTACCCGCGTCTTTCCAAAATGGCCGTCGATGTCCTTTCAGCGCCTGCTATGTCCGCCGAGCCAGAGTGGGTCTTTTCTGGTGCACGGCGTACGATATCGTGGGATAGATGTCAGCTAGGAAGTCGCACGATCGAGAAGGGGGAGTGCATGAAGAGCTGGATCAGAAGCGGTATAACACATGGGATCCCCGTTGAACTGGTCGAAGCAGAGAGCGAAGAAGACGACAGCGGTATGAGCAGATGACCGGGAAGCACGCCTGTTGCCTAATAGGGCCAAGGGGTACTGAGGAAAGCATGACGTCATTGTTTGTATTCCATACGTATGGAATACGATTCCATACGGAGAGAAGTTCGTAATCCATACGAGAATTGTTCCATATGGAGTATGGAGTATGGATAGAAAGCCTGATCTGAACAAAGCGCCGTCCGAGTTTGCCCTTCATCGATTCTTTAAAGCCCGGCGCAATATTGCACGCAGTAATACCGACCAAGCTGCCGATTGAAGTGTTAATCTTGCCATTCGCCATGACTTTCAACGGATGGCATTTAGCCGAAGCCTCACTGACGGTTCGTACTTAGCTAGGGAAAGCACCATCCGCAGTCTCCAGATACCCTCACGAGCTTGCCTTCAAGATTGTGGACGGCCGGTCACGATTGAACCACCGAGCGACGACGACGTCCGAAGAGCACCGAAAGAAGCCTTCCCGCAACCTTGCCACCAACTCGCGTAGCAACTCCATTTCTACCCGACCAGTTATGAGCTACGGCACGTCGTTGACCACATATCGAAAAGTAGGCTGGCTCATTGGACTCTAAAGAGGGCCGCAAACGTGCTGGCTGCACTCTCGGGCACCAGCTTTGCCCGGTGTGATTCTACTATCCTAGTGGACAAGATTCGTTGCTGCAGCCGGCACCCATCTCTTGGTAGCGGCGCGTGTGGCAAAATTCCAGATCAGTGTTCAAAGTTCACACCCTATCACGTGACTGATGAAAACGGCTCGCACACTATGATGCTCGTCGGACAAGTTGATGTATTTCCGCATGCTGAAGCGTACGAGGATATTGGACAGGGAGAGATAAAGAGGCGCAGTCGACGACGAGCAACTGCACAACGCCGCGATCCGCACGGCCGGCACTCCAGAGACGCATATTGCGCTTGTGTACTTGGCGATGTCAATGCCATCCCACAGGCCGGGAAAACTAGGTGACAGCGAACGCGGAACGGAAACATCCCCGCAAACGAAAGCTAAATTGCCCTACATATCGTTTTGCATCCCGTCGCATTGGGACATCGATGCTGCGCAGCCACGGAAGGCGAAGGAAACACTTCCATTTCCCAAGAGACCTTTGCACTTGAACTAGGCTAGAAACCCATGCCATGGGCCACCCGCTCGTGACTCAGGCGTTCTTCCATGTTTCGAAACGGAGGGAGATGAGTACAAGATGATTGGGTGCATGACATATTGTCTTTGGGCGATACATCGGGGTGAGACTCCACCATGTGGAAAAGAAAGTCCGTATACCCCTGAAATGGTTTCGAACAATGCGGACACGTCTTGTTGTCGCCGTTGGGAATGATAGATCTGCTCTCTAGTCAGTAATCGAATTCCCGAACGAGGCGTGGACGCAGAGACGCTGGGTCGACCATACAATGGCACTGAAAATCGTCGTGGGCCTCGGGTATGTAACACAGATTCGTTCTCTGGTCTGGGTACCGAGCTGAAAACCATCATAGTCAGAAATTGTAGGCTGTTTGCGATGAGGGTCACAATTACGGAAGCATCTGGCGACCCTCTTCCTGATTGCCCATCCATGGTTCCCAAAAGTCACAGCGTTGATCACCCAGATTGCCACAATCGGTGTTGCCGTATGTTACATTAGCCTGCTGACCGATTACTGTGTATTCCTGCGGCACGGAAGCCCCATGCGTAAAATCGGGCGTCGGTTGCTGGACCTGGACCGAAGCACGAGCCGCATGAATCTGGGCTCCAGCGTACTGGTCTGCTTGGTAAGTTTTCCCCCCCGGAGCGACACGATGGTGCCTTGTCGGGTCTTTCAAGCCACGTGAAGAGTCCCAAAGGTTGTTCAAATATGCACTTCTGTGGTTGATCACTGGGACGGCGGGTTGTTGCGAATGCGTCATGCCACACATTGACTGCAGTGATCGCGTATTCATTTTGGTCGTTAGTCTGTAGTATCTGTTGCAGTGCTCAGTGCCGAGGGAAATTCCGAGGTAAATGGGGCGGGTCCTACACTACAGTGAAAGAGAGGCCTGTACTAAAGTAATATACGCAAAGCTAGCCCCGATCACATGCTTTGTTGATAATGTAACTCCATTGGTCCAGCGATGCTGGTGTGTTGAGGTGCTGCAACTGTTACCGCCGATGTGCCCATCGTAAGAGCGTATGCTCCGTGCAGTTGACGTTTCGTCCCGTTACAAGCCCGCATTGATTCGTTGTCCCCGGTGACCTCCGGCATTTTCACTAGAACCAGGACGCGGGGATCCCTCATCACGAAGCTGAGATGGGCATGAGCTGGAATGGCCGGCGAGCAGGGGAGGCAACTTTGCACCGCACGTCTTGCGAGCTTCACACCACGCGTGCTGCAAACCTTCGGGCTTCACACTACTCACCCTGCGCGCTTCACACCACTCGTCCAGGAAGCCGATTTAGCTGCACCCCACACGTGCTGCAAGCCTTCATCCTTCACACCACATGTCCTGCGAGATTCACACCACACATCCTGCAAGCCTGCAGGCTTCACACCACACGTCCTGTAAGCCGATTTTGCTTCACACCGCTTGTCCTGCAAGCCTGCATGCTTCACACCACTCATCCTGTGAGCTTCACACCACTCGTCCTGGATGCCGATTTTGCTGCACACCACACATCCTGCAAGCCAACATGCTGCACACCACACGTCCTGCAATCCGACTTTGCTCCACACAAACTTGTCCTGGAAGCCGATTTCGCTTCAAACCACAAGTCCTGCAAGGCTGCATGCCTCACACCACACGTTCTGCGAGCTTCACACCACATGCCCTGCAAGGTCAGCATAGAGAGCCAGAGTCAGTTCTGGATATCTTGTCACATGGTAAGGTGTCCCCGCCACGGTGCATTACGCGACCGTCTGCCAACACCCTCTTACCGTCCCCTGCCGAAACCACTTTTTTGATGACGGCGCCCTCCTTTGAGGCCCTGGCAACACCCAATTTTGGCTACACCCTTCTCATTCCCTGCAGACACAACCTTCGAGCAACACTCGCGTCCAGGCTGCTGACGACACCGCCTTCTCCTGGTGACTCCACCTTGTGATGGCACCGTCTTTTCGTCCCTTGGCGACACCATCTTTCACAACACCCTCGTCTGGTCCTTGGAGACACTACCCTTTCCCTTTCCCTGGCGACACGCACCTCTGGCGACACCTTCTTCTCGCCGCCTCCTGACACCCATTTGTGATAACACCAGTTCGATGTCCCCTGTTGACACCTACTCCTGGCGACACCCTCTTTTCCCCCCTGGCGACACCACCTCTCGACAACACCACTTTCTCGGACCCTGGCAACACCCTCTTCGCTCGACACCCTCTTCCCACGACACCCTCTTCCCACGACACCCTCTTCCCACGACACCCTCTTCCCACGACACCCTCTTCCCACGACACCCTACGACACCCTCTTCGCACGACACCCTCTTCGGACAAGAAGCACACCACTTTGCTGAGCATCCACGCGCTGCTTGCACAGCCAAATCCAGCATCGCGACGGATTTGACACCAGGCCCCGGAGAGTGGGGTGACCTTCTACTTCGATGGCGCCCCGCGGCAGAGCCGTAGCCACTGTTGAGACCCGCCTCACCTTGCGTGGCACAAAGCCAGAATCTGACGAAGTGATGCAGTTGGCCTGAGCCACTATCTTGTTGCCGGATTTTGCCCCTTGGCATTGACTTTGCCCTCGGTCGTTGGGCAGCCGAGTTTTCACGTAAGCTGATAGACGTCACTGGTGAGATTTCGCCGGCATCGCGCTTTGACGCAATGCGAGCCTTTCTAGAACCAAGATATCGAGGCCGACAAATAATTGCAGATACAGTACTGTACAGTATCGAAACCATGCCTACGGTGACAAGTTTTGGATTCGCAAAGGCATTCTTGTCCGGTTTGAAAAGGCCTTGCTGACAGGCGTTTGCCGCAGTCCTGTGACGGCGGTCAGGAACTTTGAACTTTGACCTAGAACTTTGATCTAAAACTTTGAACTTTGAGCTGGAACTTTGACGTGAGTGATTGTACCCACAAATGCGTGGGGTCCGCAATGACAAGCGTTGTCCACCATTGCGACCGAACTTCAATAGCTACTGGTACAGCTGTGAGCGGAACCGCCGTCCTCCTGCAGACACTCTTTTTGCAACACTCGACCCACTTTTGCCAGTGTCGGTGATGGCCGAGCTCCTAGAATACTACAGAAAAGAGAGGATGGGGGAGGAAACCAGTTTCGCTCATAGCTGTATTGCAGTCACAGTTGTCCAGACTCGCGTGCTGGAACATGAACCCGGTTCGACGAGCATCATGCTGCGCAAATCACATTGGCGGAAGTCACGTGATAGGTCTGGAACTATTTGATCTGGACTTTAACACCAGTGGTCCCTACCCAGAGGAAAAACACCATCACCAGCGAGTACGGCGGGTGCGTGACGAC